GTTCTAGCGCTTTTGAGGGAGAAAAGCTTTCCCCCACGCTCTTTCTCGGCGCATAATCTTACAAACTTCCCTCGCCTTTCCTCTAAGCTAAAAAGCCCTAAAGGCTTCAACCGTTCCTCACAGGGCAGCCGCTCCAGCCCCTTATTCATTTTGGTGGCCCTATTCTGAACCTTTCCCAACTGGGCAATCTCTTTTTTGAGGCCAGGCCAACCAGAGGCCTCTGGTAAACCCACAAGAAGGATTTGAGCACAAGATCACACTCTCCCTCTGTCCTTTCCAGAGAGTGGGACGGTTGCTCACTACTTTGCAGGGATGTGAGGGATCATTGCGCAGGGTTGCACCTGGGGGACTTGAACATGCCTCAGATACACTGGCTGTGGACTAGTGTGATCTCCTGCCATGCAGGGCTCCTAAAGCAGCAGCAGCAATGAGCCCTCTGAAGTCCTCTCGCCCTTCCTCAGAGCACATGATCCATGACTGCAAGATCAGCCACTGGAATCGGGCTGGGAATTTGTCTTTCTGGCTCCATGCAGCCCTCCTTCCTTCCTTGGGCCAGTCCTTTTTTTATTGCAGCCAAAGGCCATGGCCAAAGGCCAAGGCATCCCTAATCTCCAGTGTTAACTACTGTTAGCCTTGGCAAAGCTGATGAGTGGGCTGGAGCTGCATTCTGCTCCATCCCAGCAAAAAAAGCTGCTGTTAAGAGTGACGAGTGAGCAGAAAAGACAGAGCGGTGCCAAGTCTTCAGAGATTTTGCTGGAGTCCACCGAGGGGGAGAGAGAGAGAGAGAGAGAGAGAGCAAGGTAGAAAGTGCAGCGCGGCCGGCACATGCTTTAGACATGGTCTTATTGCGACTTTGCTGTTGTTTTTATTGATTATAGTCTAGTATTCAGTTGCGGAAGTTTATTGTACTAGCCAGAGCCCATGACAATTGCAAACCTGCAAACATAGTATTAATATAATACTATAGAACATGCATCCGGAATATAAAGAAGGCATTATGTGATTAATCGGTAATGATTTATTGTAATAGTTGAGATTGAGTTTCTGCTTAATTATTATTTGCTGACACTCTGAGAGTTAATTTCATTGCATAATATTATATTCTAAATGGATCATTGAACACTACTGCATTTTATATAAGTTGTTTATTTTAAAGTCATTTTTTTAAAATTCTGACTTATTTCCATTGCATCGGATTGTTATAGGATGTGTGGTCTTTGTTGTACAGTTGGTTGTTTCTGTGGCTTGTAAAGTTCCCTAAAAAGGTGGAAAACAAATTAAAAGCGAAATGGAGAAATAATCCATCTTGACCCACGAGTGGAGGCTGCAAACATCCCATCTCTCCTCCCTGCCTTCCTACTCCTTACTCCTTGCATTAAGCGACTAGTCCACATGGCCATGATTGCTGCCAATATATACTGGTTTGGGCTCAGTTTGATGGTCATGTTTTCTCCCAAAGTATTCTGGGAACAAGGGACGCAGTTGGTGCTGAGGGTTAAACCACAGAGCCTAGGGCTTGCCAATCAGAAGGTCGGCGGTTCAAATCCCCACGACGGGGTGAGCTCCCCGTTGCTCGGTCCCTGCTCCTGCCAACCTAGAAGTTCGAAAGAACGTCAACGTGCAAGTAGATAAACAGGTACTGTTCCAGCAGGAAGGTAAATGGCGTTTCCGTGCGCTGCTCTGGTTTGCCAGAAGCGGCTCAGTCATGCTGGCCACATGACCCGGAAGCTGTACGCCGGCTCCCTCGGCCAATAAAGCGAGATGAGCGCCGTAACCCCAGAGTCGGTCACGACTGGACCTAATGGTCAGAGGTCCCTTTACCTTTTATTCTGGGAACTATAGTTTGGGGAGGGTTCTGAGGCTCCTTGTGTTAGAGATCTTTGCTGTGACACCCCAACCTCTATAGACCTCTGGGAGAAGGGAAAAGCTATAAACCCGCTTGCAGCGTAACTTTAAAACTAGCTTTAGAAAACCGAAGGGGCAGCAAGGGTGTCACGCCACAAAACTCCTCCTTCAACCCCCTCCAGCGCCACTTTCTAGATTTCCCAGGGAAAGATACCTTTCTAAAAAGCAAAGTGTGCATTAGTCTGGGGACCAGGCTCTTTGCCCTGAGAGCTTTATCCTTAAAGTCCCTGGTGTGTTAGAGAGGCACATCCAGACTCATCAAGTACTCCTGGGACTCTCCCATTCTTGCATGAACAGAGGAGGGAGAGATGTACTGAAATGCTGCTATTATTGACAAGGCATGAAAAAAGTGAATAGAAAGCTCAAAATGGAAGGTTTCCCTTCCGAGGGAGAATTAGGCAGTTCTGATCTCCGAGCTTTCCATGCAAGGCCCCCTCTCACACACCTGTGGCCTGAAATGGCACAGTCCGCACGAGAAAGGCCAACTGCAACAACGGCATCACCTGCCTTGGCGCCAAGGGCCGCACAGGTCGCCCGCGCAGGATCGACAGGGCCAAAGGTGAGGCCGGCGCAGGCCCGAGAGGCGACGACTACCCACAGGGGAATGCGTTACCGAGGAAGGAACACTGTGGAAACTGCAAGCACTGAAGTTTTGAAATTAATAAATAAATGTACGAGGGAGGTTCTCTTTAACGAAGCACCGCTCTTGCACCCTGAAGAATGAATGGTGATACGGGGATGATAGGCTGTAACCGAGGAGGTGGAATTCAGTCCTTACAAACACCGCTTTGCAGGTTATTAGATGAAACCCCCTTTTAAGTGCATGGTCAATCATAGATTGGTCTCTGTGCGTGAAATCTGAGAGAGCGAGAATGGAAATTCACCAAAATTCGGGCTAGTCCGGGGGCAGAGGTGAGCACTGTGTAGATCGCAGGATCGCCCTGCCCTGATGTCCTTCTGGGGATCTCACCAGTTTTCGTGTTATTATTCCAAGTTGCTGGCCCTTGAGGGTCATTGGAATATGTTATGCGGGAGGGGGTTTCGATGTGGTTGCCAGTCCTGAAACAGCAGGCCGTCGCTTGCAGGGAAACCTGCCTGCTGAAAATACGTAATTGCTCTAGATCCTGCAACCTCCAGCCTTTGCTCCAACCCTCGCCTAACCCTTCAATTCCCCCTCCGATGTCAAGAGAGTGCTTTGCCAGTTCGCTACAGGGAGAGACGAATCGAGCCCCCTCAGCAGACGAACGTGCCCCTCTTGGGCCCAGCACTGGGACTCGCCTCCCCTTTTGGAACCGCCAAGAAGAAACCAGCAGTCGCTGCCACACCGAATTCTCCTTTCCTTCCCTCTCCCCTTCCTTTCCCCAACGTCTCCGTCCTCCTCGAAGGCCTTATTGAGCCTGCTTCGCCCTGAAGACTCTGGCAAGGCGACCCCGCCGCCACCCCCGGGCGGAAAACATCTCGGAGTACCCGAAGCCCAGGATCCCCCCCGAGCCTTCTCCGCCAAGCCAAGGGCTCCAAGAACTTCGACAGCAATAAAGAGCACCCTTGCAAGTCGTGAGCACCGAATTAGGATGGCCAGGCAGGAACCTCGGCCAGATGGCTCCCTCCCTCCCCCTCTCGCCGCTCAAGATCCAAGAAGGAGAGGGCTATCGCGCCACGCTATCGCAGAATCTCTGGTAATAGCGCTGCTTTGGCTGCCAAGGCGAGGGAAGAGGCTGCCCGCCTCCCTTCCCGAGGCTCGCTCGCCCGCCCGCCAGCAACACGGAGAGGCATCCATCTGCTTCTGGATGCATGACTATGCATATAATGGGTTATTATGTCCCCACCCCACGGTTTTTATGGCACCCAACGTGCAGACCAGCAACACACCTACATCACAACAGGGGAGGGGGGAGGGGGAGCAGTCTTATTTGAAAACAAGCCTTCATCCAGGTGTTGGAGTCAATGAGCTTCGCTGGTGCTGCTGTTTATGTATAACGGAATCACTCATTTTGCGGGGCCTGTTCTGAACCTCAGGTACATCCCCCTTGCCGCTCGAGAGGGTGAGACCCCTCCGTGGGATTGAAGCCGCCTGTAATCAGATCTCCCCAAACTGCCTTTGATTGACAGGGCAGTTATTAAAACGGAGCCAGGGGTTTCAAAGGCAGCCTCCGTCTTAAAGGAAGCCCTGGGTACACCAGCTCCTCATTCTTGCTGTATCAGAGCTTCCCAGCCACCTTGTGTAATAAAGGGGGGGGGAGCATGAGACTGGGGGGGGGTGTTAAATAAGAGCAGCGTCTCCCTGCACGCTTTTTTTCCATTGGCCGGCGGGATGGGCCACCAGCAACGTCAATCAGTAATTAATATTTAGAGATTTGGAGAGTTCACGTACTTATGCAAAACGAGCAAAGCAAATCGAATCAGGTGCGATTTGTATACGCCTGTTTGGATGCAGGAGACACGACCCCCCCCACGGTGCGCCCCCAAACCTGGGTGGGTCGGGGTGTGTGTGTGTGAAATATTTTATGAGCCAGGATGCAATGCAATGCACTGAAGGAGGCGCGGAGGGCGGGGGGAGCGCTAGATCAAGGGGACTCTCCTGAAGCAGCCAAAACAACATTGCACGGCTTCCCCCTTTCTGGAAGGTGGGGTGGGGGTTCAGCATTGCCTTCCTCCCCCCCCCCATATGGCGCCACTGGGTCCTACATGCAGCAGATGCCTCGTCGCGTGGGGGTAAGGACGGGGCTTGTACGGCGAGTCTCTTCCCAGCAAAACGAGGCGCCCCGCAACCCTCCCATGACACACGCCCTACAATTTACAATTGCATTCAAAAAATTAATTAAATCGCTTCCCGGCTCAGAGCCAGGGAGTCGCCCCGGAAATCCACCTCCGGGAACCAGCCTCGGCGCTCGGGGCGAAGGCCTTTCCCCGTTCTCGCCCGCTGGCCGGCGTGCGGCGCAAGCCCAGAGCCCGGCGGCGGAGCCTCCTTCGCCCGCCGCCGCCGCCGCTGCTGCAATGGGCTCTGCCCAGCCTCGACCTCCGCTCGCACTGCGGTGCTCGGGCGAGGAGAAACCGTGGGCGCCCGCCCGCCCGCCTGCTCGCCCGCCCGCCCTTACCTTCCATGGCCGAGCTGTCCGGGCGCCACGAAGTTGCCGGGAACTTTGGGGAGGGCTGGTGGGCTCGGGTGCTGGTCCTCCTCCTCCTCCTCCGGCTTCCGCAGCTCCTCCAGCCCGGATCCCCGGCGGCGCGTCGGGGCTTCCTCTCGGCTTCTTCCTGCTCGGCTCCGGCTCCTCCTCTGGCTCCTCCTCGGCGAAGGCTTTCCCGGCACCCGGAGGCTGCAAGCAAGCAAGCAAGCACCGCAAGGGTGAGCGCCCGCAGGGAGGGAGCCGCGCGCCGCTGCGCAACCCGCAGGGACCCCGGGATGGATGGATGGAGGGATGGAGGGATGCAGGGATGGAGGCTGGCGCAGGAGGCGAGCGTTACCTGGCGGCGGAGGCGGCGGCGGGCGGAGCGCAGAGGAGCTGTCCGCCGGCGCTGGTGCTGCAGGTACAACTGCCGGCTCTGCCCACTCGGCTGCCTCTGTTGTACGCACGGCACAGGCGCCGGGGAGCCGGCAGGGCGCATGCGCGCCCCCCCCCCGCCGCCTCCCTTCCCCTCCTCTTCGCTCCGACCGCGCGCTCGCTCCCGGGGCCGCCAAAAGCGCTTGGCGCGGCGCTTTGGTCCCAGGGAGGCCTCGGTCGGGGAGAAAGCGCGGACTGGAGAGGAGCGGAATCCAGCGGGACGGGGAGTGGCCGGAGTTCTCCGCGCCCCGGGATGAGTTTCTGTTCGGAGAAAGAGGAGGAGGAGGAGGAGTGCTTCGGTTGGAGATCACCACCCCCTCCTTCTCCTCCTGCTGCTGCTACGAGGCTTTTGGCCTCGCGCGCCGGGAGCGTTCATACGACACTTTTCCTGGCCCGCGGGTCCCAGGATGGCGATGCTCTTGACTTCAGCCCCTGGGGGCGAAGCTCGGCGCTGCCTCAGCATCGCGGCGGAAGAGAAGGGAGAGCGCTGAGCGGGCAGGCGAGCGCCGCCGGACCTCGCCGCCTCGGGCAAGGCTCGCCTTGATCTGCGAAATGGGCCAAAGAAAGCGGACTTTTTCGGATAACCAGGCCCGGAGTGAGGAGGCAAAGGCCTTTCTTTGCATTTTTACAGCTGCAGCTCGCAGGAAGCCAGACATGGGCTTCCACAGCTCGATCGAACCTAGCCAAGCTTCCAGCCGAACCCATTTGCAAGCTCCGCCTCGTTCCAACATACTGGGACCTCATTGCTAAACTGGAGAAGACAAAACTCCAAAAGAGATGCAAGGAGGCTGGAACCAGATTTAAGAGGGGCGGGCAAGGGAGGGGCTCCGCCATTCTAACCCAAATTAGCAGTCTAGGCTTGGGGGGGGGATCTGGTACTAGATTTTTTTATTATCATTTAAAGAATTCACATGCCACTTAACTGCAGTTGATGCACAAGAAATAAAATGCAGAAAGAGGTAAAAATAATAATGATCAGTTGAAACAATGAAACCAGAGTTCTGTTAAGATGCCTGATAGAAGACTAAAGGTCTCCCATGGGCGCCAGAAGTTCAACAGGGAGCAGGCCGGTCTGATCTCCCCTGGAAGAATTTAAGTGGCACACAGGCTGAAGGGTCAGTCCGCCATTGGTGTAACACAACCTGATTGTGACAACCCCAATGAGCATTGCTTCTGGGTGCTCACATGCCCATGGCCTCCCAATGTCCATGTTGTTGTGCATTCATGGCAATTTCTGTTCATGATGATATGGGGCAGCCAGGGATCAGGGCAGGTCTGTGCCAACCCCTGGTGCTTGCCAGAAAAATGCCAGAGTCATGCCCACTCATGCTTTGTTGAGGCTGTTTGGGTAGTGGGCTTTGGGAAACGGCTGCCATAAGAGCATAAGGATAGCCCGCTGGATCAGGCCAGTGGCGCATCCTGTTCTCACAGTGGCCAAGTAGTTAATAATATATAATCATAATAATTTATTATTTATGCCCCACCCATGTGGCTGAGTTTCCCCAGCCACTCTGGGCGGCTCCCAATCGAGTGTTAAAAACAATACAGCGTTAAATATTTAAAACTTCCCTAAACAGGGCTGCCTTCAGATGTCTTTTAAAGATAGCTGCTTATTTCCTTGACATCTGATGGGAGGGCGTTCCACAGGGCAGGCGCCACCACCAAGAAGGCCCTCTGCCTGGTTCCCTGTAGCTTTGCTTCTCGCAATGAGGGAACTGCCAGAAGGCCCTCAGAGCTGGATCTCTGTGTCTAGGCTGAACGATGGGAGTGGAGACGCTCCTTCAGGTATACAGGACGGAGGCCGTTTGACTGTTGACAGTGGGAAGCCAGCAAGCAGGATTTGAACACAAGAGCCCTCTCCCCTCCTGTGATTTCCAGCAACTGGGATTCAGAATAATTATTGCCTGTAACAGGGGAGGCAGGGCACAGTCATTGTGGCTAGCAGCCACCAATGACCCTTCCCTCCTCCAGGAATTGGTCCGGTCCTCTTTTAAAGCCATCTCAATTTGGTGGCCGTCACTGCCTTCTGTGGGAGAGAGTTCCCTAGATTAACTATGCACTTAAAAGGACTTAAATCCTTTTATCTGTTCAGAATCTTCAAACATTCAGCTTCATCGGATGTCCGTGTGTTCTGGGGTTCTGAGAATGGGGTAACAGCTCCTCTGTTCCACCACTAAGTCTCATGTTCTGTGGCTACAGTGTGGCCTTAGCGCAAAGGGGACGTCTCATGGCCCTTTGTACCCCGGCTCTCCTGCTCCACCTCCAGCATCCTGCCTGAAGACTCCTGTCCGGCAACTTTTCAAGATCCTGCACAGTGAAAATGAACTGCCATGGTGGCACCTGTGCAGGTATAGCTCCTCCTCCTTTCCTGTCCCTTTCCCCTTCGGTGGGTGAGTGTTTGTAAGCCTGTGGGTAAGGACTGCCTTGTTTTCATTGCTGGGATAGCTCAGTCAGTACTGCATGAGACTCTTAATCTCAGGGATCGTGGGTTCGAGACCCCCATAGGGCGAAAGACTCCTGCATTGCAGGGGGTTGGACTGGATTCCATCTAAACATTAGGAAGAACTTCCTGACAGTAAGAGCTGTTCGACAGTGGAATTTGCTGCCAAGGAGTGTGGTGGAGTCTCCTTCTTTGGAGGTCTTTAAGCAGAGGCTTGCCAACCATATGTCAGGAGTGCTCTGATGGTGTTTCCTGCTTGGCAGGGGGTTGGACTCGATGGCCCTTGTGGTCTCTTCCAACTCTATGATTCTATGATTCTATGGATGACCCTCAGGTTTCCTTCCAACTCTGCAATTCTATGTTCCTATGAATTGATTATTGGTCACTCTGGAAGCCCTTTTGGCTGAAGAATGGGGTATGAATGTCCTAAATAAATAAATAAATCGCTCCTACAGCGATGTTGGTTTAGTGGTCTCTTCAACCTCTCCATCTGCACCTGATTCCTTGGAGAATCACTTGCACGGGCCATGTTTGTAAGAACAATAGAAAAATAGCCTGCAAAGGAGAAAGCTATCGATGGCTGGTAGCCATAACGGCTGGAGGCATAAATGCTTGTGAATTCCAGTTGCTGGAAACAGCAGGAGGGAGAGTTGCTTTTGTGCTTGAATCCTGCTTGCACAAGAACATCTGGTTGTCCACTCTGAGGACATGATCCTGGACTAGATATGCCCCCTTGGCCTGAGCCAGCAGGCTGCTTTCATATAGTTCTCTCTTCCTAAATTCCTCCTCCTCCTCCTCCTCCTCCTCCTCCTCCTCCTCCTCCTCCTCTTCTTCTTCTTCTTCACAAAAATTCACTAATTATTCTTATACCAGTAAGTTGCTGCTGTAAGCGCCTATAATACTGCCACGATTTTCTCTCCAGTCATTTGCAAAACATGTCCTCCACCGCCATTTCTTTTCTGAATAAAGTTTCTGCAAGAGCCAAAGGCTTCTGTAACCATTCCCATGAAGCTGGAAAGTGTGGATTCTTCCACTGAAGTGACCCCGGGTTTTCTGATGAGATTAGTAGATTCTTTATTAAAGATCTCCTTTCCTCTGGAATAGCAGCCTCAATCCAATTAAACTGTATGAACGCAGGACTTCATTCCACGGTTATTGCTGCAATTCCTAACACCTCTTATTCCAATTGTGAAGTAAGCTCGCATTTGCAACTGAGCCCTTTCCAAGACTTGAAATTTGCATCTGAGCAGCTTTTATTAAATCTCACAAGTGTCAGGTAGGAGAGATATTTCGCACTGAGCTTATTGTACTGTTTAGCTCAATGATTTTACCAAGCAAAGTTCTTCGTCTACTGACAGGTCTAGGATCATGGCCCATGATGCTGCGTAGCCCACAGACAGCTGCTTTACCCTGTTTCAAACTGCAGGCTTAGAAAAATGTAAATTGCAATGACACAAACATGAGCATCACACACATTGAGGTGCTGGGATTGGCTGCTTCTCTCTGCTGATAAAAATGTGTGAAATGGCCATGGGATTCACAGCTGGACACTGATTCATGGTCTAGGGTCGAAAACACCTTTAGTAGGAAGAGAATTATTAAGACTTCATTACAAATTCAACTCAAAGCATGGAAATTATACATTTCAGGCACCAAACTTCTGCACAATGGAAGGTATAGGAGACCCATGAACAGGGCTTGGGCAGCACAAAATTATTCACCTTTCCTGTGGTTTCCAGCAGCTCATATAATTATTGTTACTACTACTACTACTAATAATAATAATAATAATAATATACTGACAGAGGAGGCCGGGCAGAGCCATCCTGGCTGGGAGTCACAGACTGCCTTTACCTCCACGAATTCCATAGAATCATAGAATGGTAGAGACCCCCAGTGTCATCTAGTCCAACCCCCTACAGTGCAGGGATCCTGCCCACAACCATCCCTGGGTGGGCTCGAACCACTAACCTTCCGGTTAATGGCCTGGTGCGCCAACCCACTATGCCACCTGAGGGTGGAAGTCACAGGAGGGGAGAGTGTTGATCTTGTGCTGGGAGCCTGCTCGCGGTTTTCCCACAATGGGCATCTGGTTGGCCACTGTGAGAACAGGATCGTGAAATAGATGGGCACTGGCCTGATTCTGCAGACGCTTCTTATTGTCTTAAACAATCCATTTCTACCCAAGAATTACCAACAGTAGAAGAATGGCAGATGAAGATGATGGATTTTTCGGAGCTAGCCAACCTAACCGGAAGAGTCCACGACCAGAAGGAGGAGGAATATCAGGAAGAATGGAATAAATTTAAGGATTATTTAGTTAAATTTGTTAAGTTGAACTAACCGGAAATAGCTTGCAGATACTTAATGGGCTTAGGATTTTATTTCTGTTAAGTGATAAATTAATATGTTTAAGAAAAAGATTTAAGGATGCTAATGTTTAAGGTAAATTTCAAAAAAATGGGATTTGGAAAACTGTTACAAGGACATGCAATGAAATTCAACCAAGGGGAACTGAGGAAGTCACTTAACAAAGTTAATAACTGTAATTTTCAATAAGGCTATGATTTATGTTTGTTATGTTTGTTTGTCTTGTGTGTTTT